CAGACATCCATCCAGACATGCATCCATCCTAACATAACCAGCAGAGCCAACTAGTCACTTCCACACAGCAACAGGGGAACAGGAGGCCAGAAACAAATTATCACACAAAATCTTAGGCTAAATACATAGCAAGAACATAATTTTTGATGTAGTGGGCATGACCAGAACTAGTTTTACCACAAGATAGTATTTTTCTTGAAACAACATGACACATGTCTGGAAACGGCACAATCATGAACACAGCTCAGTGAATGTCAACAGCACACAAAGACATAACCAGATGCCCCTCTTTAGCCTTAACATGGTTACCATAAGCGGTGTGGTGTGGAAATAAACGTTCTTTATTATATAAAATGTGGAGCCAGTGCGGTAGCCGAGGTTTTTTTGAGTGACAGACAGGGCTGCCAGACGGTTAACTGTGTCACAAGGTAAAGAGCATAAAATAGATAGAAAACAGACTCCAGTGAGCTCATCCAAGCTGCCGTGCACAGGAGAGAAAGAAAAAAACCCAGCCTGGTCCTGTGTACACAGAACAGAAGCGGCTTTGACAGAAAATCTATGTGGCACACAGACAAATGAATAGAAGGGTGATTGATCCAACCACACATCTGCATTCCAACTGTCCAGAGCAGACGACTGCGCTACTGGACTCCTTCAGCATCAGAATGGACTGAGTCTACATGAATACTTCCCTACCAACCACGCAACACTGGCAAATCAGTGATAAAGCTGGGAAGTTGTTGGCACAGACATCACAAAAATGAAAGAAACACAAACTCCCATGGAATTGTTTATGCAGACGACATGGAGTGAGCAGACAGGCCTTGCAGGAAAAGGAAAAGTCTGTAAAAAGTCTCAGTTGGATCATTCCATGCACTTCTCCGGTGGTACAATTTTGAAAAAAGTACCGCGACTGTCATCCAGTGCCCAACCCACATACATCAATCGGCCATCAACCCCGTCAACTTTTGTACTGCAGGATCCATAGGGGGCCTGGCAGAGGCACATGCAGATACAGACTGTATGCTGCAGCATGGAGTCAGCAATGTCTGTGAATCCATTTCAGAACTGTTCTTTTCTTTTTAATATCAGAGGGGTCTACTTTTCTTGGTCCCACTATGTAGCTGCAGTCGTGGTGCGCACACTCCCTGCATGAGTGCTGGTTTGCGAAGAAAACACACCCCCGACTGGGGAGCCCTCTGCTGTGTGCAGATACCAGTGACAGCCAGCACTCAAAAACAAGGGCGTGGAGGAGATATAAACCTAGAAATAATATTTACTATACAAGAGATTCACCATGTGATCTCACTCATCTGCATGGTAGGTCCCTAAGGACATAACGTCTTCTGTGCATTGTGTGCTTCCAATTTCATGGAAGACATTCTAACACCTTTTCTGAAAACAAAGGCAAAAAAGTTCAAAAGTCTGGAATCACTTGTCATAATTCTTATTCAATAATAACTTAATAATAACTATGTAGGGAATTTGGCAAACAAAAAGAAGTGACATGGTTAAAAACAGCAAGTGTTATTAAATAATAAACTAATTATCTAGGAGTAACTCTCATAAAATTATAAATATTTGATCAGTTAGATTTGGTCACCACTTTTCAAATATCTGGCATTCTAATGGACCTATTTCCCAAATATCATGGAATCATCTACAGCTCTGTTTATAATTTAAAACCCATAGAAGCTATGGAATATTAGCACAGTATTAGAAACATTTTATTCATGTGTCCGCAGCAAAATAGTTTTTGTATGATTGAAAACAGTCATTCTAAAAGTTTAGAATGGTAACGGAGCAGTATGTTAACCTATACATACATAATATGTATTATCTAAATGTGAAACGCCAAAAATAAGCTGTAAGTTAAACATTGAAAATTGATGTAATATTTGTTTCATTTTAGATTTAAATTTTTTACATATTCAATTCAAGTCTACACCTATTATTTGGCTGTAACATCAAAGAGGACCAAGCCTAGAAGTACCAATATCTGTCAATGAATCACTTCCTTGTGTTATTGTCTCAAGATGTTTACACGCCTAATATATAGTGGCACCTGGACAATGACAGGCCTCCGCCCTTAACCTGTCTAACTACCTTTCCGCTACAACTAGTACAATAAGGGTTGAGGCTGCAGTGTTGTACTGATGCAGGACCAGTCTTCTTTCTCCTGGCACCCACCCTAACCAAGATGAGAGGGACCGGAAGACAGGTTCAAGATCAGTGAAGGGCAACTTATGCAAAACCAGCACACCTCTCCTGTGCAGAGGCAGCCCACACAGGGATATTCCACAGGCGTAATCTGCCCTTTATGAGGTAATGGCACATAGCTCTGCTCCCTCTCCCTGATCAACAGATTATTCTGACACACACAAAGGTGTGAGACAAACCTTTGATCCTGCCCGACCATTCAGGAAATGAAAACCATTGATAAGGTCAAAGCCAGTGCTGAGCTTTGGCTAGTGCGGAGATTGGTTATGGAGCTCCAGCCGGTTGTGGTCACATTAAGTGGGTGACCCCTGTGTTTGTATGACTGTGGTAGTCCCTCCCTCAGACCATAACGAAGGCCTGAAAAGGTTCTGTTGTTGTTTAACAGTTCTGTTGGGTCTGGGTTCTGTGGGACAGCAGAGAGGGAGGAAAGGAGGACAGAATGAGAAAGTGAGATGGTCAACCAGTTCTCTCCTCCTAATGCTATGCCTTTGCACCATTCAGCACAAAAAGTCCCCTTATTCCAAATAATCAAGGCATGTTCTGAAGGTCACTTCTTTAGTTTCACACTGGAGAGACAAGACTGACACAGCTAACAAAGAGTGAAAGCTTACATCCATAAATTAGTGCATCACTTGTCCCAAACTGTGCTGAGTTGTTAAGTCATTTTAAAATGACTTGCTTATGTGGTTTCAGGCACTGCATGACATTATGACACAGGTACAGACAAAGGTGTGCTAGTATTGGTTTAGCATTTGTTTTAGCTGTTATAAACAGTATCCTTCAGTCACAATGTCAAAAAAAAACAACAAAAACAAAATGGTAAATATCTTGGAATAAGGGGAAAACTGTTTACATTTTATTTTTTGTCAAACAATTCTTTTCAAATCAAACACAGAGACACATCCTTTGTTCAAGCAGACTCAACAACCTAAGAGTTGTGCTCTTTGCAGGGAACGGCTACCTGCGCTTCCTGCACCACTTCCAATCTCAACAGTCCCTCCAAGGCCCTTCTTTCCAACGGGAACCAAAACTCCTCTGTGCTCAGAACAGGGACCAACAGCAAAATCTGCACATCAAATAAATATCTGCTGGGGTAGTATTACCTTTGTAAGCGCCAGCCCAGATCAGGAACAAAGGAAACTGGAGTGGGTAAGCATGTAATAAATGTGCAAAGAAAGCAGCAATCTCCAATGCAAATCGGCACAGCTTTTTTAAGCGAAAGAGGTTTAGCAAAAATAAGCTCAAAATAAGCCCTTCCTGGAAGAAGACCCCACTCACTTAAAAAAAATCCAGTGAGTACCTTCCATCCAGTGACCTGATCCCAGGCCAGTACTTTCAGACTGACATGCTTGCTGAATAAACACCCCTTGCATGTGCCTGAATACAATAGTAGCATGTAAGGCCATGGAGATTTCCCCCATTCATTTTCAGGCAAAAACCAGTGATTAAGATCATAACCGTCTCCCTGTTTAAGAGAGAACTGGGAGGTATACAGAAAAACAAAAGAGGGCAGTTTTAATGGACCTTGAGAAAGTCTTGGTCACTTCTCTGGTTTTCCAGTGGAGCCGTTGGTTAAACAAATGGTCGCGGCAGGCTGCAACAATATCAGAACTAGCAAGCGGGAATGTCGCTTGGACGGCTGTTCAAACTGTAATTTTTGCTACAGCCAACATGGTGGAAGTCTTAAAAAAAGACAAATCTCTGAAGATCTCTTTCATCTCCAGAGCGGTTTTGCCATAGAAAAAAAGGGAATTCCAACTATTCGGATCAATGATGATCTCTTTGCTAAAGGGCATTTGGCTTTGAACATTTAGAGAGAAAAGGAAGTATGCTAGCATCTCATGCTAGAGGCTATAACTGTAAGGGAAAAAGGTGGTTATGAAAGTCATTAAGTGTCTGGACACTTCTAGGTGAATAAAACCCAAGTACAAGCATTAAGATGTGAGAGGGAATGGAAAGTGAGGTATGCAGTGGGGGAGTGGGGTTGGGGAGGGGGACACCACACATACTTCTGAAGTTCCTGAACTGAAAGCTGCACTCCAATGGTAGGAACATTTCGGCAGACATTTGTTTAGCTGCCTTGCATATGGCCATAAGGATCAAAGGTGCGCAGCTTCTGAAGGAAATCTTTGATCAATATGCTCCAGGTTGACTGTCATGAGCGAGTGGAACCTGAGTGGTTGAACAAAATAAAGAAAACAGCGATTCTATTTTTATTTAGACAGATCAGACAAGTTTTCCTCCTTTAGTAAGAGAAAGGAATTCACACTGAGGTAAGTACCTTGCTAAACTGTAGCTTTTAGCTTGTCCTTCTCATGGCAAGTCATTTCTGTTGAGTAATCCATTCTCTACACTGTTATGATGACTTGAAGACAGCTATTACTGTTAAACAGCTATAGTATTGATGAGAATAAAAAAGAAAACATTTAAAAACATCTAAACACAGTTTTTAAAAAGGTTTCTCCCACCTTCAGGATAGATAATCAGAAAGAGTTTCTGTTATGATGGTTACATTTTTACTTTCGGCCAGAGTTCTCATTTAAGACACCTATACGGTGGTGCGTTGGATTCGTTGCCAAGTATTTTTTCGTGAGAACTGGCTGAATGTATCCTACATGCATGAATGCACTAGGTTTATATTTAAGAAGACTCAGGGTTTGGTTATGCTGTTACAGCAGGAACAAAAAAGTGATGTATCTGAACAGATGAGGACAAGACAATGAGGATATGAGAAAGATGAAAAAGTATTTAATAAAAAAAAACTGTATTTGACACTTTTTTCTCCTTCATACATCAAGTAAACAAGACCAAAGTTTGGTGAACAAAGAAAAACAAAACAAAAAGCATGCCACATTATGTGTAACTCATTTGGTTTCTAAAAACAGAAATAAATATGCATAAATACATTTTTAAAAAAGCAGTGCTGTAAAATCCAACATTGAAAGTCATACAAAATCAATACAAAATCAAGTCATGCTTCAAGACATCAACGGTGAATGAGGATGAGGATGTTTTTTTCTGGGGTAATGGGGGGAGGGGGGGCGGTGGTTAATGCTCACTTCGATTAGAAATCTTCTCCAGTAGGCACAAAGCTGCATATCTGGTGACCCTGATTACCTGGAGGGAGATAGAAGTGGGTGGGGAGAGAAGGGGGGGAGAGAGAGTACAACAGAGAGAGAGAGAGACAAAAGTTAGCTGGGAAGGTGTCACATGTTTGTTTAGGCCTGTGAGCGGCAGGTCAGGTGGGCATGGGGAGGAAGCTGACAGTAAAGAGGCGGGGTGACATCAAATACCTGCTGACAGATGGCACTCAACACGAGCACTTAACACAGCAGGGGGGCTGGATCTGGTCAACTACAGACTGCACTCGGGTCAGTATTATAAAACAGCAAAAGTGCTAGCGCTCACATCGTGACAGTCAAGGAGTAAATCATTGACTTCGGTTCTTGTGATGAGATCTGAGTGCCGCTTTTCCTCACATCGTCGCTTCCCCCCACCAACTCTACCTGCTCTGTTCAAGTAGGCCAATATTTGAATAGTCAAGATCCCTCTTCAAACACAGAAAGAATGACAATTAAAGAAAAGGAGGAAGTGTGCATCCATCAGCAGCACCAAAAAAAAAACCCTGCCGCTGTTTGTTTTTTCCTCCCTCTATCCGGATCAAAGGGGCCTTTTCACACCTGGAAAAGCCAGGGCCCCAAGGGGCCCTTACATGGGGGAAGGAGAGTGTGTGCACTCCTAAAAAAGACTTCATTGAATTATGCCACACATTTACATTCAATCATATTGAGTGAAGTCAGCATATACAATTTTGGGTTGGTAACTCAAACAACTCCCTGGTTTAATTTTTCAGTGTGTTGCAGTGGCACAGCCAGAATCTCATTTTAGGGGCAGCCTAATATAACATTACACAGTAGATCATCCCTTCAGTGGTTACAGGTCATCGTGGCTAACTTGGAAGCACCGATTTTTCTACGTGTCTGTCTGACTTGATCCTTAAGATTAAGATCCTAAAGTTTAATGCCTCTAAAAGCTACATCACAGAAAGCTATTACATTAAATGGTAATGAATACACTGCCTGATGCGTGAAACACTGTTTTATGACAGATTTGTGATGAGCTTTTGGCCAAATTTTTAAATCCATTCACAGTAGTAAAAACTCAGAACACAGGTGTAGGTTCATTCGTGGTTTCGGACAGTAAATAAAATGGCTATATTTGCGTTGTAAACATCGCAACCCCTGGTTCCTATCATCACTATGCCTAATGCTGAACGAAAGGACCTATTGCAGGAAGTTGAGTCAGACTATCATCACCCTTAACAAGCCATAGGCCCACCGGTGAGCCCAAAGTTTTATTACACACTTCTATAATCTAAAAACAGCTCCATCAGTTTAAACTGAAGTCCCTGTAGTTACTGAATAATAAGCCATAGTATGAAATAAACCTGGAATATTAAGGGTTTAAACAATAAATGAAGAAAAAGAACCGTGAGAGAAGTAAAATGAGCCATGGTAGCAGATGGGGAGAGGAGGAGAATATTTAAGTGTAAGTGTAATTTGGGCCAACAAAAAGGCCACAAGTCAACACAAAAATACAAACACAAAAAAAAACATAAATATGTCAAAATCTATTCCTTTTTTCTGAGAGGAGGAGAGAGAGGATATTCATTTTTCTCCATTCAAAAGGAAAAGGCTCTGAATTGACAGCACACCAATATCAGACGGACGCTCCTCTACAACCCAATTAATGTCACGTATGGTGAGATGCAGCCCACACAGTTGATGACGACAGGACACAGGTGTGTCACGCCAAGTTCTTTAGTGCCCTCGCTAAATTGCAATGTGAAACCAAAACTAACTGGATCAAATTTATTCAATGTAACAAAAACATGAACTTTGGTTCAGACCTCGGCCCAGACTTTCAGGTGTGAAAACGCCTGTTAACTGCTGCACCATTTAAGGTGCAATGGAAAATCTGAATAACTTCAGCCTCATATACCACAGCAGGTAAAGGCTAATTAAACAGATTCCTACCTTTCAAGCCACCAGAAGCAGATCTTTATAGCGAATGACAAGGTTAAGCCCCTGTAGGCTCCCCAAGGACCCTCGAGGCCCTCCTTATAACCAGCCCCCTTGTGTGCATATGAATGGGGACCAATAACGTCAGTTGGATCTCTGGATCTGACTTGGACTGTAACCTGACCGTACAGTTAGTCCAGGTGGAGTAGTGGGGTCTTGCTGATCTGGGCTGATAAGCTGTATCGCATTTGAATGCTGCCAGCATGCGCATGTTTTACATATGAGTGTTGTGACAGAGCTGATGGAGGGACAGCAGATGAAAGAGGTTCAAAGGCTGCTCTTGAAATGTCAATTATGCCAGTGACTTATGAAAAAGCTAACAGGTGAGAGACATTTGTGGGTTGGTGCATTTTTTAAAATGTCAGCTGTTTAATCTTTCTGCTGGACGATAAAAAGGTCCCGAGGGTTAAGGGCCTGTGTGGATCCACTTGCGTGTGTGCGCTGCATAGATTTTCAGCTAACAGTGAACGAATACATGCGAGTAAACATTGTGTGTGTACATCAGTTGGTGACCAGACTCTCACCTCCTGCTGCGGCAGGCGTCCAAGTCCTCCTGTAAAACGGACGCTCTCTTCTGGAGGAAGTTGACCTACACCCAGCATGCACACATACACAAACGCAAACACACAGCAAAAGTTTAGAAGTGTGAGGGAGAATCTGTCCCCTTTATGGACACACTGAGAAACAGAATCCAGAATCCAGAGCTCGGTGCAAACCCACCTCTAAATGACTGACTGACAAAAAACAATGTGTCAGTGGCTCAAACCCAAAGTCCTTGTTCTTTCGTTATGAAGAAAATCCATACCTTTTCAAAACTTTTCCCTGAGAACCTTTTTCATTTTTAACTGTGTTCAGTTCAACTGTAGCTCAATAAGATCGTTAACTATACCATTGCAAAGGAAGACATGAAATGTGATATGCATTAGGGAAACAGAGCAGAGAATACAAGAATATGTACAGATTATTTTTCCCCTGTGACATGGTTTTAGAATCTTGCTTTAACAACAAAAATGTATTTATACTCCCCAAAACATACTTTTCCAGGACTATAAATGCAGAGGTTTTATATTCTATACTTTCCAGACGTTTCATACCACTCATTCTATTTTGGCTTAGCTTTTTTTAAACGCTGCATTAAAAACCATTAAGTTAGAGTAGCATTTTAGCGTTTTTTTCCATGAAGAGTTACTAATAAGATCCTAGGATGGTGGTCCAGTTCTATAACAAATTTGTCAAGATTCCTGCTGTCCTTGCTTTTAGAGGGGACAGATAAATGCAAGCCACAGAGAAAAATATATTTCCCATCTTCTACAATATGGATCAAACAATAAACCATCTATAAGTGCATTATTTAGGCGTCAATAAAGCATGCTGCAATATTTCACGTCGCTTTGACAGCGTGGCTCATTCTTCAGGAGTCCTTTTTCTCCCGAACTTGACCTCAAAGTTCTATTCTCTAATTAACTTTCCACAAACTTCAAAAGAATGCCTGTGATTTTTTGCCCCGGCTTTTGCCTGAAATGAAGACGCACTCTGGTCAAGACCTCAACCAAGATCCAGTTTCTAGTGGCTGAGAATTTGTGAGGTCCTTTTTCTCGAAGCGTATGAACTTGAGCTAGGCCACCAGTTAAGTGCAAATAACACACATCAACATGCAATGTTCACCATATTGGAGTGGGGCAGGGAGGCCATGCCTGTTGCAAATCACAGCATACAAACATGTTGGATCACAGAACATGATCAGATTGAAAAGAGAAAAATCCAGTCTGAGTTATTCAAGGGCTGAGGTCTTTGAACCCACACTCTCACACTGTTGTTCATGAGGGCTCCCTGGACCACAGGCACAGAAAAAAAAGGGGGCTATTGTTTGGATTTGAGATGTTTAACGAAAATTCCCCCTTCCACAAACGCAGGCTGAGTAAGGTCCGCTGTAACTAATAAGCACTTGGCCGGAGCCCTTGAAGCCAGTATTAATGTGGTTGCTGCGTATAATTGTGCGTGAGGGAAGATGAATCGAGCCTGGGACTTCAAAGCCCCATGGCCAAATTAGATCCATGTCTATGGAAGAACTCGCACTACTTGTTAGCCTTTCCCCCCACTCCTCGTCCGAGGAATCAAATAAACAAAAGACACTCCAGTTCAAAGCTGCAAGGTTTTGCCTTTCTGCAAAGAAACAGCTGAGAGATGGAGATAGAAAGAGAGAGAGGGGGAGAGAGAGGTTGTGAAGGAGATGGGAAGATGACGCTGTGATCTCGGAAAAAAGCGACAAATGTGATGACATTTAAGTGTGGTAATCAAAAGAACAGAGCGTCTTAAGAGAGGTCAAAACTTGGACAGTACAATGTGCTCAGCAAGGATGTACCACCAATACATCAACACAGAATGCTTTTTGAGGTTTGACTAAAAATATGTAAACAAAGTATCTAAAAAACAGTACAACATGCAGACATGAAAACTCATGCAGTGAAAAAGGCGACAAGTTCAGAAACTAATCATTGTTAGCAGGGTCAGGCAGCACATTTTAGTGATCTTAACAAGAAATTCCAGTGCACCCTAAGACTAAAATACAGGGGTTACTGCTGTGGAATTATTTAGTTTAACAACTATGCAAATACAAGTCATCCAAAGATTGTACTGCTTTCTAGGTATTTTGATTTGTTTGTTTAAAAAAAATGTTGCTTATCATAGCAAGGTCAAAAGATTAGTGTGTACAAAATCTGTCAGACTATTTGACATCTATCTATTATAGTCAACAGAGGCCATTCTAAAACCTTTGCCTATCATCTGTGTTCTATTGGCTCCATAATGCCTATAGTGCTTGGACCCCGAATAATTGCAACTTTTACTCTTAATTTTATTTTTATAGACAGTTGTTTAAATGTCTTAGTGTTATGACAGTCCAAAGAAATCAATGTATCCAACATCAATTTCAAATTCAGATGCAAATGATATATCTTACATGTTTAACTTTTTCGCCTACTGTTCAAAAGCTATTGAAGAGAGAGATCTGAATATGCAAAATTTTCAGCACTCACGAAATATTGTAGTTCTGATTGACCCATATAAGTTATACTTACTATATAAGTGGGAGAACCCCGTCCTGTTTTTTAAAAATTAAAAACTCTTGAGATTTATAGGATTCATGTGAATGACATATTCAGCGTTCAAAACAGCCATGAGTTTGCTTATACAAACTTGGGGAGAACATCAGTCAGAAATAAAAACATTTAGAGCAGAGAGGTGTTCCTGTGTGTTGCTTGCCTGTGACTTGAGGGAGGCGATAGTGTCCTCAAGCTCCTGTCTGAGCTCAGCAGGCATCAGGCCTTTGATCTTCAGCTCACACTCCTGACGGATATGTGTGATCTACAGAGACAGACACAGAGAGAGAGAGAGAGCATGAGACGACCACAAGCTCAGCAACAGCGCCCCCACTAGGCTGCCGCACACTGTGGTCAGCCCACAGAAGACTGGAGCACAGAGCAAGTCCGACCAACAAAGCCCTCCGCAGAGGAGAGCAGTCTGTCTAGCCCTTAAATTACACACTACAAACCGTAGCCTGTAGACTAGGCTTAAACAGTTTGGTTAGGAATCCCCCGGCCACCCCCCACACACACATAACTGGGGTGCTTGTTTGTCAGAACTGCTGAATGGACAAGATGTGGTGTGCTGTGAAGCGAGGATGCATGGAGAGGTCACGGCCATAGAAGCTTCTGGAAACTAAGCATTGCTTAAAATGGGCTTCTTAGACATGAAGAAGCTACATTAACACGATCTCAGGATTTATTATTTGGGAACAAGTCGTCCTAGGTGTAGCCTTTGGTTCCAACTTCTTTAAAATATGGTCGCCATCTTTTTCTGATTTTTCAGTTTTTCAAAGGAGGTAGTAAGAGAGAGAGAGTGCGCATGAGGAAAGATGATTGCCTTTCCTAAAATAATTTTCCTGTTGTGGATTTAACTGATTGTTCGGGCTTTCTGTAATTAATCTTTCAGGGTACAATGAAAGGATTGGGAGGCACTTCAAAGAGGGAGAGTATAAATTATCTGAACACAGCACTCCATTCCTTTTTTTCCGTCCCAGCACAGTGTGTAGTAGATTAGGCCTTTGCCACTTAGCCAACCCTCCCCCTTCCCCCACTCTCCTCCTTTTTTAGTGTCAGACCAGTAAGCGTATGAAAAAAAACACATGAGGCGATCAATATATTTTTTCATGGAGAAGGAAAAACAAAACTTGAGAACCATTCTTAAACAAATGCTTGAAAAAAGACTAGAGGATATAATCTGAGTTGCTGCAAAATTGAAAGGCTACAAACTTTCACGGTGAGGAAAGATGGCCTAACAATGGATCCAATGTAAAGTTAATATGGTGATGATTTATGGCCAGAGAAATCAAGACTATGCAACTGTCTTTTCAAGGCTCTTCGTCCAATGTCTCTTCAAGCTGAACAAGTATAGTGTAACACCACCAACACAAAGTCACTTCCATAACCAAAGCAGCATCTCAATTACCCTCCATAAGAACTGGACCCAATGCATCTTGCAAGAGACCGTGGCAGACCCTGCATACTGAACCGATATGCCGATGGCCAATCAGAACTGACTCTCTGCAAGTGTTTGCCTCTAAGTGTGGGAGGCAGAAGTGTTGGTGAGAAAGAAGGCGGGGGAAGCTGTTTGCGTAAAGCTGCCGTCTGTCGGACAACTCTCATGGAAAAGAGCCACGGAGCAGTATGGTGCGTCTGGCTGCTGGCCCAGTGTGGACAGCTCTATTAACACAGACTGTAAGGCGCAGGACGATTCGGAATAGCAGGGAGTGGAGGCCATTCCCTCCAGCAGCTGTGTGTAGACAGCCACAGGTGGACCCGGCTGCCTGTGCATATTAGGGGTGCCATACCCCCTCATGTACAGTCAGGGCAGGGAGTAGAGGTTTGTGCTCAGATGCCAGCTTTGATGCATGAGACATGAGCGTGGAGAGGTGGAAGATCTCTCGACAGCTGGGTACGCTCCTGTGGCAAAACGTCAGTAATTAGGGGCAGGAACTCGCCTCAGCCTAGAAGAGAATAGTTGACACTGTCAGAAACTGGTGCAGGACTCAACTTTTCACTTTTAAAACTGTCAACGTTGAATGCTCATGCTGTACAAAGTTGGCTGCTGCAGTATATCTACTGTATATGTGTATACTGGTCATTGGCCATTCTAACCAACAGTCTACAATATATAAACTGAAATGTAAGAAATAACGTCTAAAAAAATCTAATTCTACCCTTAATTCAAATGTAGTAGATCAGTCAGGACATGTTTGATGTCTGAAGTTTTTTAGTAATGCTTAAGTGGATAAAATTTAGGCTTTGAGATTGCTGCTATTCTGTCTATGCTGTTTTTAGCTATTCAAAGTATCTTTGTCCAGTTTTATAGATAACAATGTGCCATACATTGTGAGAAATCACCTAAGTCTACTTGAAATTATTTAATACCGTGACGCAGGTAAATGTGGGATGCTGCAAGTGGTATAAACTTCTATTACTTGTTAACCCCATCAGCCACAAGTAGAGAACACTGAGCACGTAATGCAGATTTGAGTAATGGCAGTTCTGTGCAAATTTACTAACCTTCAGACTACCTTCACTAAACGTTCCTTCCACCCATGATGATGCAGTCTCTATTGACATTAGTACTGTGCGATCTTATCCACAAAAGGCCAGTGTCTACGCAGGTTTTCATTCCAATGAAACAGGAGCACACGATCAGTTGTTTGGTTGGAGAAGGCTGAGACCAATTGATTAAACAAGTAGAGTCAGGTGTGCTCCTCCATGTTTGGAATGAATGAAGACCCTGATCTAGATGGTTTTGAGGAACACCTGATTTGTTCTCTTAATCTTTCTACTAGCTTCTAATCACTAACATTTAAACTGTAACCTGAGAAAGTAACTGATTTTTTCTTTCTCTCCCCCTTTTTATACTTTTAATGTCAGGTAAATTCAAACCACAGGCTATGCCTTGCTATCCTAGCTCATTAGGGGTCAAAATAATCAGGTTCTCAAGATAAAGCCAAGGCCAAAGGCAAGGCCTTTAAATCCTGTCCCCACTTTCAAAGACTTACCTCTACTAACAAGTCTGATTCAGTTAATGATAAACTTGGTAATCTGCTGATGAGTTAAATTAAGTGTTTTGGTAGGAAACTCTGCAATCCATGAAAACACTGAACTTGTTCTATATGTATTGCAAGTACAGCATAAGCTTGAAGTGTAATATTATTACACTATAAGCATTTACAAGTAATACTATGCTCTTGTCTGAAACCACAAATCTATACCACAGCTATCTGTGCCAAGACAGTGACCTAGAGCAGGTTTTCATGGTCTTGTCCGTTCTCCAACCAAGACCAGGACGTCCGGCTCTGCTTCAAACCCAAACCAGAGAAGCTTTTCTAACTAGGACTGTTCAGATAATATCAGTCAATAGGAGGGTTGGACACTAATGTTAAACATAGCATGGAATGCTACTGACAAGGCGTTCAGTGAGCTCCCTCAGAGATAACTATCCAGCATTCATAGAGACCTCTCTCTGTTTCAGTGAATGGGAGGCAATGACAGAACCTGACAAACACCAGGGACTGAGGTGGGGGTGGGAGTTTGGGGAGGGTCACTTTGAGGACACTGGCTGATCAAAGTGCACTGGGCTTCTGCGCTCATTGATGGCCCAGATTATAAAGGCACTATTCCCCACAGCTTACAAACTCAGCGCTCAACAATGTGACTTCAAGCGAGCGGTTTCATCTTGCCTTTTTAAAAAGTTTCTCTCTTTTTTTTGTTCCTGATGAAGCACTCTCGATTTTGAAGATGGAGAAAAGCAGTGCCCCCCCAAAAACAGTTCTCTGTTAAAATGACACTATTTCATCTATATATAGCCTTTAGATTGAGCTTGCGTTTGACTTTGTTTGGCGCAGTGTGTCACATGCCGAGCTTTTTGACAGCTGCCAACTGAAAGTAACAAGGCCGCAGTGCTTTTAACGTTCAAATGAAGTTTGTCAGGTCGTCAGGTGCTTGATGTATGCTAATGAAGGGGGGGTGGTATGGCTGTGCTGGATGGTAGTTGGAGGGGGGCTGTGTTGTTCGGGCGTGGGGCGTGAGGCGTGAGGCGTGAGCACACGTCGGAAAGAAATGCAAAAAGTGACAAAAACTCCTCTTGTCAGATACAAGGGAGTATATCAAAACCTGCGCCACTCACAAAGTTCTGCATCGGCAGATCGTGCGTCTGGAAACCGGGTGAAGCAGTGCAGTGGGGAAGCTTTTTTTCTTCCACCCTCAAATAGCAAGGAGCTGCACTGTGAAGAAAAGCATAAAGAGGGAATGTTTTTTCATGAGAGTGATGTGAGGAGAAATTAGAAACCGGAGGAGGTGCTTTATGAAGTTATGAAGCAGAGATGTGCCTTGTGAAGTGTCAGTCATGTGGAGAGAGCAGCTCCAGTCGGCACCAGCTTTAGAATGGGCTAGCTAATGGAAAATGACTGCATTCAGTCAATGGAGCTGTTGTATGATGTTCAGACAAGTCTGGATTATCTCAGGTGAGACTCAGGTGGATTTATGAGGGAAAGTTGTATTAACTATACTGATGTCAAGATCAGTGTTATACAGCACTGAGCAAAAGTCAGAGACCACTCTTCATTTCCTTAATTACCAGTCAAAAGGGCCAACAGGTTTATTTTCAGCAGATATTATCTACTGAGTGTTTCTAACCTTCTCCTTTATTGTAGCTTCCATTCTTTTTAGGGAGACTTGCTTTCAGTTTTTCAACCTGCAGGGATGTCTTTACACACCTCCAAAATTCAGTCTTAGAGGTTGCATTTTCTGCTTTTTATGAACCAAATATTGCCAAACACATTCAGTAATGTTGAGGTCTGGGCTCTGGGGCGGTCAGTCCATTGTTCTGAAAACACCAGCAGCTTCTTTTTGTGAATTTTATTCTTTATTTTGTCTATTTCCTTTATTCAGTAAACACAGCTTCTTGAATGCTATACATCCTTTCAGTGCTGAGTTGTCTTCTCACAGTAAAAGGATGGACAGAAACACTTTTTCAGACCTGTGATTTTCTCCTCTCTCTCAAAGATAAAAACTTTAAGTACTGTTTATCTGATGGTGACAGTTTTGGTGGTCTACTCAGTCTTGCACATTTATTCCCAGTCTATCTTTTATAAACACCTCTATGGGAAACATTTTCACTTATTTTCCTTTGACCTCCCCCTCCTAATGCAACTGGATTATCTTGTATCTAACCTCCTCTGAAATCTCTACCAAAAAAAGAAAAAATATTTGACTGAAAAAATAAATGAAGGGTGGTCTGAGTTTTTCACAATCCTTTATAAATGTGCAATGACTGTGAAAAAATACCACGGCATATGGTGATCCAGTAATAGATGCACTAGGACAGGATTATGGATAAGTGCTTTGTAGTCAGAATTACTGTTAACAAAAAAGTCTAAAACGAGCTCAAGTAAACAATGCCTTACATGTTTATGACTGCATTACAGATGGTGGACTTTACTTTTTCAATATGTATTAGAGATGGCATGATACAACAGTTTCTTTTACAAAACCGATATTTAAACCTTGAGTATCAGCTGATACCTATCTGATATTTCTTTGTTAAAATCTACTGTGACTTAGGGTCAGCCGTTCCTAAGCATCTAAAAGTAGACAACTATGCTCAAAGTACTCAAACACTCTACTTTCCTACAGGAAGAAATACACAGCTAACATTATAACATCACACAGTGTGATTCTGTGCTGTTTCAGGGTAGATTTGTTACAAGATTGGATCAGATCCATTCTTTTGTCCCCTCCAATGTCTGATCCAGCATTTTCTGCTGATATTAGCATGACAGTGATACCTGGTACTGAACTGGTGCCTCTAAGGCCTTATGCAGACAGGCAGCTCAAATCTGATTTTTCAGCATATCTCTATCTAGCAGAACAGTTTTTCTGCAATCTGAACAGCAAAAAGCCACATGAAGATACCTGTTTTTTGTCATTCTGGGTGCGGCGGTTCATGACTTCAGAATGTGCAATCTGAAAGTGGTGCATATTTACAGCTTAGACATGGAGGGCAGAAGTTTTTAACATTTGGGCAACATTTTTTACTTTGTTTGCTGGAGTTTACCAACCAATGCGGATATGCGAGCAAGTGCGGCTACAGCCTGACCAAACAAATTAGATTTGGTCACTTGTAATTTGAAATCTGAATAGCCAGTCTTAAAAGTCGGATATAAGAAACAAATCCAATATGCCCTGCAGTGTGAACAAAGCCCAACAACTCTATTATGTAACAATAAAAAAGCCACTATCATAGAGTACTGCAAAAAACATAAATGTGCCATCCTTTCCTCACTTTAACATAAACCCATTTTAACAAACCAACATCCTCTTGGACCACAAGAAAAACTACCATCTGCAGATTTTCTGCTAACAGCAAACTCTGCGCCAAGAGCTTTAGCTAACAAGTGAAATCCTACCTATTAAGAATATAACACTACTCACTCCTCTTCAAGAGAAGAAAGCTCAGAGGAAGACTGTGTCACCTTGCTGCGCTTTTTTTTAGCACTTTGAGGGCCTAATCTTTTCATCCAGCATGGCGGGGTAGACTGCTCAGTACTGTATGCGGTCGTTGCCGACATTTTATGCCAAGCAGGCACAGAGGGGCCTGGAAGAGCCTCTTTGGAAGAACATCTGTTTGAAGTCTGGGCAGAAAGAGGGCTGTTTTTTTTCTCATGCTGAGGATCATATTACAAAGACATGTCTTGGAAGATAAACTGGGGCAATATCACGGCACGGAAAAGAGAGAGTAGGCCTCTCTGCTTTTTTTTCCCCCTCTACACACATGTATGTGTGTACATATGTGCACACACACACAGTGAGAGACCTGACCTGGGGAGGGCTTGGGACTGGTATGCGGGTTTATGAGGTGGGAGTAGATGTGCTTTGCAGGCTCTCCTCCTCTAAGGGAGGACTGAAGAGGAGGGCCTCCCTAGTCAAATCTTCGTTTGGTGGGGGTGGGTGTTGGGAGGGAGTGGCTCGCTCGTCAAGCAGCAGAGTCGAGAGTAAACACCAGTTCTGAACGTACCCGAACACTCCCAGCTGATAGCCGCTGAGCCATCAAGCCTTGTGAAGAAGCCTTTTCATAATGACTAGACAATAAGAGGGAGCCGTTTCCAGCTCAAGCTTTCAATTAACCCTCTGGGGCTCCTCCTTCACGCTCCCGAGTAAACATGCAGACACTAGAGGCAGTCTAGCCAATTGAGTGATGACCCTAATTGTCTGGTGTCTGGACGACGCTTTCCATAACTCGCCTAGTCAAAGCCAGTGATCTATTAGTGCTCCTTTAGATAAAACGCATTTTTGGAGCTCCTCAGAGCAAGAAGGTGCCAATTCTCTGCAGCTGCTGCGGAGATTGAGCCAGGCTCTCGTTCAGCAGATGCTCTGGCCTCGTCCAAAACTGAACGTCTAAAGCAATGAGCCACAGTCATCAGGACAAAAAGGTGTCTCAAAAGACCCGAGATGCAGGTCTCTACTAATTACTTTCTTTTCTTCCCCTCCTCACTGTGTGTCAAGGTCAAAGCAGCCCTGTTATTAACCCAGCTTTTCCTCTGAAGCCGGGGCAGACATTCCAAGCCTGGGGGCGCTGGCCCTTGAAGCCGGATCTCCAAGAATGTGGGGAATGCATGTGGGGTGCGTATCAGTGACTTTGAGCAGGAAGATTCAGCTCTTGTCTGGCCCTGCAGGGGCTGGGGGACCAGGGGAGCCCTGAGATCTATCAGAGTTCCAATGGTAACGTACCTGCTCCTGGGTCTCCAGTCCCCGGGTCATCAGCTTCTTCTCGGCAGCATGCAGCTGTCTCTGCAATGTCTCCACCCGCTCCTGGAGAACCTGCAGGGAGACAATTAGGGAAGGGAGGAAGGAGGAGTGATAGAGAGAGAGAGAGGGGGGAGAAGACAGATGTGACTAAAGTGAAGAGACCAACTGGACCTATATTTGATGAAAGTATTCTAAGTGGCACTTTGATGAATAGTAAAAAAAAATATATATATATATATATATATATAAATATAAATAAAAATAAATTAATAAATTAATAAATAAATTCTAATTTGTCACCGGCAGCAAGCAAGGGAGAGATCCATCGACTGATTTCACAATGTCTGTGAGGTTCTTCACACTTAAACCCACCTGCCTTTCTTTTCAACAAAATGTCTGCGAAACATATAAACCAAAACTTTGAGGCCAAACAACAGAAAAGCAGATCGAGGTTCTTCCCTCCAGCCCCACGGCTGAAACCAATAGTAGTGGAAAGAGAAGCGCAGTTCCTGCTCAGCACTTTGAACCAGATGTTTGCAGCACGCATCTGTACACTTCGTTTTGGATTACGCCTCATGAAAAGCAGAAGCAGCACCTTGTGGCTTTATGAAGAGAGGGTTGCGATGAGGCGATGAGGGCCACTGTGAGACAGCCCTGGAATCTATTAGCATGCTCCCTCTACATAGTGACAGTGCAGGTGTTTGGAAAAGGAGTTGGAAGAGCTTACAGTTTCCTGGATTGGCGCTAAAGGTGCCTTATAGTTCCCATATCCTACACGTCCCCCCACCAGGGTCCACTTATGATGTTTTTGTTGTTGTATGTACAAAAGACATGACCATTTTTATTCCCAGAGCAAATATATATATAAATATATATGCAGGAACAAAACCTTACATCAGCATTTTTCTTGTTTTTTTATTTTTCTTTACATAAACTGAAAATACCAGCTGCTGCTTTTACTGTGTCAAATCCTCATGACAATTGGACTAACAGAAATTGCTTAAAATGTCTTCTATTCCAAGTTAAGAATGTTAAGAATGCTACATATAGAGCCTTTTAGGGCAATTTTCTTACGATTTTAAAGAGTGCTACTTAATTGTAATGGTGTATGGACTGTGCATTGACTTTCAATACACCAAGGCTACAAGGCTACCAGGCTAGGCCAGTAACTCAAAGCTTTAAATGAGTTTTAGGTATACATTAACACATTTTAATACAGGTTTTTAATACTGATTTTAGTGTCCAGTCCTACTGTACAGAATGCTGCTGTATGTTGAGACCATAAACATCTAAACAACTATTATAGAAATCAATAAACTGTTTAAAACTGACTGTTCATGAAGCTTGTGACATGCCAGCCTTGAGGTCAGTTTCTATTTCTTTTTGAACAACTAAATTTCATGGATTCAATTATTTCTGCTAATTTCTTCACCAAAAAGCCTGCGAAAAGTTGCAGTGCGTCATGACTGACTCTTTCTAAAGCCATAATGGAAACCATAACGCACGGGACGGCAGAGAGGCAAATGGATGTTATGGGTTTGCTTATCGTCAAAGTAATCCACATTTTCGTTTTTCCACTTTTGGTCAAATCCATTGTTTCTTCCTTATCATTCACTGATTCTCAGTTGCAGTTCAAGAAGTGAATGTGCCCAACCACTTGCTTGAAACTCTGCAACTTCTTGCCATTATCTTTGGGCCCCTGAGCAAAAAAACATGGTTTTGGGAGGCCAGGGGGTCATGTGTAAGAGGTCAGGGTCTGTGAGACGCAAAGTAACGGTCGTAAAGTCTGCTTCACCTTTGCTGCATCTCCCTGTGGGGCTGTTCCTAAGCTTGCTCATGACCCCCTGGGGTTCAGCCATGCTAACCTTAGAAGAATAGCATTAGCCAGCTGTATATCAGGATCTACGGTGACGGGCAAGTCCCAGAAGTGTGACACAGTGCTGGTGCGGCACTGCTTCCTGGAAGCGTGCTGACAGTCGTCAGTGGGAATTCTTTCATGTGGTTCCCACTGGATTACTGAAGCTACATCGAGTCAGCTCAAGGCTTAGAGGAGAAGGGAGAATAGCTCTGTCCTCATCACAAAGTGGCACGTCATCCCCAGCACGTAGAAGCTCAGAGTTCTGATGACTCATGGTGGGTTATCTAGCTCCTCTGCACGAGAGCGCTTCATGGGCCACAGTTCAGAACAGCTAGAAGGTTTCTTTTACAGAACCTTGGGAGAAGTCAACAAGACTGACAGGAGATCTTAAAGTGGATTAGCAGTCTCCACTGTTATATTAGACTTATCTGGTCTTGCTGGGCTATGGCCTGCACTGACAAGCCCTCAGCTTTATATATAAAAAAAAAGCTTCTAATACAGGCAAAGGGTCTTGACAATCCAGCATGTGCCTGGTGGTCCTCGATACAACCTAGGTAGAGCTCCAGTGCTTATTTTTCTCCATCCCACTCAACCTTTCTAGGAGGGGCAGGGGAAAGGTGCTGAAGCCATGCAGCTGTTGTTCCTCCCGGCGTGAACAGGGGATTTGCTATGGAGAATCTCTCCAAACAGGGTCCAGATGGCCAGGGCGATATGCTCTTTATCAGACGGCCAGTGTGGGATCGATCTCAACAGGCGGCAAATGTGGAACATTCGATTTCCTGGGGGGGGGAATGGGTCGGGGGGGTGTATGGTTGGTGGGTGAGAGAGATAATGAGTGAGAGAGTGAGCGAGAGAGAGAGAGAGTGAGAGAGAAAGAGAGAGAGTAAAAGAGAGATACACAGAATGAGAAGCTGCAGCAGTGAGCTTTTTTCTTGCCCTTTCTCCAAAACTGGTTTGTTTTCTTTAACAACTGGTTATCTTCTAAAGATTTCTAAAGCAAACACACACAGACAACACAGACCTATCAAACACCCAATGATCTGCAGGAATGCTAAGATTCCAATGATGATATTTTAAAGGGCCCATATTTAACGTTTTTCTTGTATTTTTTATTTTCTTCTCTGAAGTCTACTTATGACGTTTGAACAGGTTTATACAACAAAAACAAATTAAACAGCCTGTTTTTGATAGTGTGCCTTTAAGATACAGATCTCTGTTCTGATTGGCTGCCCGCATTGTGCCACATTCAAAGCAGCCTGAGCTGAAAAACTCCTTATAACTTCAACAAGAATGGGCGAAGCTAAACTGCTGTAGGCTGAGTAGGCGGATATACAGTCCTATACAAAACTTTGGGCCCTGGTTAATATCCATGCTTTGTTAATTTTCTAAGTGAAAATAACTACAAAACCTTTGAAGAGAATGTACTCCTGCACATTTTAAAGCATAATTACTGTTTGTTTGGAATTTAACATTTTGGGTAACAATGACACATGATATGACACAAGTTATGGCATGTTTTCTATCTCATAATTAATTTTTTTCTGATGTGTTAAACGCAGCAAATATATATAGAAATTGTGCACTAGCATTTGCAGAAAAATGTCATATTTAAGTGTGTTCCCTACAAAGGATGTGTTAACTTATTTTCACTTAGAAAATCAAAAAATATATATGTAACTTGAATGGTAGTGTTCAAGCATTTGCATATGACTATTTAAAAGCATTGGGTTTCATCATAACATCACAAAAACAAATAATAAAAAAAAAAGGTTATTTTCTATTTATGGACTGTATAGACTTGGAAGTGAATGGTACATTTTGAAACTTTAAAACACTACTTTTACATACTATGTCAACCTTTACATATTTTGTCAACCTGAAAAAAAACTCACAGACACTCACAGACACCTACCCTTCACATACACACCAGTAATGTTTCTTCACACAGACACCTACTATTGCTTAGACACACACACACACAAACGCGCACACACACACACACACACACACACACACACACACACAAGGTGAGATCCAAATCGTCATTCCTGGGTGGTCCTCCTGTAAAGATAAGGCAAGTATGTTTCCCTCGGGTAAAGTAGAGGCGAGGAAGGAAGAGTAGAGGAAAGCCAGGGGAAGAAAGAGTGAGAAAGAGAGCAGAAAAAGAAAGAAAGAAAAAAAAAAAAAACATCTCAGGGCCCTTTTAAACCCCCGTCCATGTTTTGTTAGCACTAGACTGCTCTTCATGTGGAACTTCTATTTGCAGCATGGCTGCTCTAAGAACTTTTCCAAGCTCCAGATTAAAGAGAGCCTTTAATGACAACGAGTGAAACTACTTCAAAACTCTAGAAAAGCCTCCAGTGGCCAGGCCCGGAGGTCCTCCACACAAACAGACATCAGTGTGGTTGAGTGGGAGAGCATCTCTGCTGCTAAATTACGGAGGTGCTTGCATGACCCCCCCAACCCCCGTTCTGTTGCGGCCCTGCGGCTGCCTGGCCATGAGGAAGATGAAGGGATGAAGGTGATGGTGGCAGTAATGGAGAGTGGATGAGAAAGAGAGGAAGTGCTTTGAACGTGGCTGCGGATCGAAGGACAAGCTCGAAGGTGGTCCGTTGCTATTCCGCGCCGCTGCCGTAACAACAGCTGTATGCCGCTCGGGACAGCTGCGACGTCTGATGTTTGCGTTTGTCAAATGACAAAGAGGAGTCCAAGAGGGAGAGGGAGACGTGGGGGGGGGGTGGCGGTGTAGAGAGAAGCAAAGGAGAGGAGAGAGATTTAGAAGTTTGCTTCATTTCTCCTCTGGCACAGCTTCTGATAGCTGGATGCGAAGGAGAGATTGGGTTTGTGCCTCTTTAAAGCTTGCTTTCTTTCTTTTCTATCCCCCCCCCTTGCTTTCTCTCATTTTTTTCTTTTTTTTGTTGTTCTCGGCGGTGGCTCTGGTGCTGTGAAGGCCGCTTACATGCCTTTCAAACAATAACAGTTCAATACTATCCACCACCCCCCACCTGCCACCCTCCACCACAACCCCCCCAACTACTTCTCTCGCCAGGGCCTGTGCATGCCAGCACGTCCTTTAGAAATCCTTGAACAGACTACAAAACACAAAAGGCAGTTTGTGGCTAAGAGAGAAAAAAGGGCTTCCATGCGCAGCGCAGTGTAATTAAAGTAGACCTGACGCTGTTAAGCTCCGCTCCAGAAAAAAGGGGGGGGGGTA